ACAAGCGGCATCGAGGCGGCGCGGCGGCGCGGCAGCGGCGTGGCACGCCTGCAGCTTGGAGGCAGCGCGCTCGTCCCACTTCCGCCGCTCCTTGGGCTTGCGCTTGCGCTGCCTCTTTGTCGGAGTGTACTCCTTGCCCTCTGCCCGCAGCGCGAGCGCCTCCTGCTGCCGAGCCCGCTGGAGGGCCTTGCGCGTCTGCTCGCTCTCAGAAACGGCGCTGCTGCTGCTGCTGCTGCTACCCTTGCGCTTCCTCGCGGCGCTGGACGCTTCGGCGGACCTGGACGCGCCAGGCTTCTCCGATTTCTTCGTACAAGGCTGCGTGGCTGACTTGACCATCGTGCCAGGAAAAAAGTTTTGCCCCATCCCAGTTTCGGGGGGCAAACCCTGCCCGCCCCCTAGGACCCCGGGTAAGGCCCAGGTGTGGCCTAGGGCATCAGAAGGGACCAAGAGGAGTCCAGTCTGAGCCATAGAGCCCATGTCTTTGCCCCCGAAGGTCGCGTCCAAATGCCCGGAACGGACGTTACAGTGGTGTCCGGCCGGCACGATCACCGAGCTGTGACGCTCAGGGAAGCCTGATGAGGTGCTGGTTTCTTTGCCCAGGGCTGGCCTACGGCCCATGCTGGATCAGCTGAGCAAGGTTTGGGGAGAATCCCCCGGACAGATCTTCAGATACCGTTTTGACGGATGACCGAAAATGGGCAAAAACGGGGTGATTTCGGTCATCCGTCCATATCACACGAGTTTTTGGACTTCTGTTAAAATATCTCCTCAATGACAATGTTCAGGCGTCCGCGCCGGAAGTGGCGCTACTGCGCTGTTCATCAACACGAGCTCGACGCCAACGGGAGCAGCGGCTCCGCGCCGCCGTTTGCTCCTCCCCGTGCCGCCGCCGCCGCCGCCGCCTCTGCCGTCGTCGTCGCTGCCCCCGCCGCTGCCACTGCGGCTGCCTCTGCCTCTGCCTCTGCCCCTGCCCCTGCGGTCGCCGCCGCCTCTGCCGCCGCCGCCGGCCACCGCCATGTCGACAGGCTCCCATTCTGAGATGGACGCCTCGCCGCCGCCAAGCGCCACCACCCTGACGGCCACCGCTCCGCCAGGCAAACAGTCGAGGAGCGCGGCCTGCTTTGGGCAGAGCTTGCCGGGCATATGCTTGCCAGAAGTCGAGCCAGGGTTGAGGAAGAGGACGCCTGACGGGTGCCTCTCGAGGCGCGGCACATGCGTGTGGCCGTACACGATAATATCTCCCTTTGGCCGCCAGCCGCCGGGCGGCCTGAGCTCGGACAGCACAACTTCGTCGTCCTTGTGTGCGATGAGGTCGGCGTGGTGAACAAAGCATCGAACGCCGCTGACGCTGTCCTCGTAGGTGGCAGTCGTCGGGCA